AGGACATTCTTGATTGATGTTTTGAAACTCCTTCTTAATCATTGAAACCCTACAGTGTGGAAGCAGGCCATTCAGCCCATCAAGCCCACACCAAACCTCAGAGCATCTCACCTCATCCCTGTGACCCTGCATTTCCCATGGCTAATTCACCTAGCCCACACATCTCTGGACATCATGGGCAATTTAGCATGGCCAATTCATCTAACCTGCATGTCTTTGGATTGTGAGAGGAAACTGGAGCTTCTGGAGGAAACCTACACAGACACAGAGAAATCGTGCAAGCTCCACATGAACAGCTGCCTGAGTCTGGAAATTGAACCCAGGTCTCTGGGCTAGCAGTGCTAACCACTGAGTCACCATGCCACCATATGGTTCATCACTGATTTTGGGGAAAGGAGATCTGCTGTCCTCTCCAGGTCTGGCCTACTTGTGGCTCCCTGACGCAAAGAAATGCCCTCTGAAATGGCTTAGCAAGTCCCTCAGTGGCAGTGAGGGCTGGGCAACAAACGTTGGCACCTCCCACATCAGGTGAAAGAATAAAATGTTGGAGGTGCTGGGTAAATGCAAGTTGTTGTTAGCTGAGGCTGGAACTATTTTTCCTTCAGCTCTCACTGGAGCGGACCCGCCAAAGTTGACCTGTCCGTCCTCCCTGGACTGACCTATCTCCTCCCTACCTCCCCACCTACACTCACCTTTACTGGCTCCATCCCCGCTTCTTTGACCTGTCTGTCTCCTCTCCACCTATCTTCTCCTTTATCCATCTTCTATCCGCCTCCCCCTCTCTCCCTATTTATTGAAAGGGGTGACTGTTTTTGTTTTGGTAATTGACAAACATGTATAAGAAATTCCAATGCAGCGACGCAGTTCAAATTTCCAAGTCCCGAGTTGTCTCTGGAAATTGCCCGAAAGGGGTTTAACTAAGATCTGACACACGGAGCTCAGGCGTTTGCGATGAATGCTGTAAACATTCCTATAAGGAACTACAGTACAACGATGCAACCAGATAGCAAAGGGGCTGCTTTCAAGCGGGCGGGGTATCATGGGGTTAGTCCCTCTGCCTTGTTTTAAAATCTGGCGCTGTGTTTACATACAAATCAGAAACTGAAAGTGAAGAACCGTCAGAAAGTCGGGCTTGTCACAGTCTGAGAGGGAGAGAGAGAGAGACAGAGAGAGAGAGGAAGTGGGAAGATCTGTCCCTGGGATGTGAATTTCCCTTGAGATCAGAACAAAGTTATGGGAAACAACACCATGATTATTATGGAAGAGGACGGTTACTTTTTGTTTGGGATTATCCGAAGCGGGATATGACACAAAAAACAGACAGGGTGGGGGAGAGAGCCCTTCAGAAATGTCCCACACTCCAAATTAAACCCGGTTTGCATTGTTCAATGCCCAATTTGTCCCTTGGTTCTAGAAAAGTGGGCCATCAAAACTCCGACAGATCTTCTTATTCTTATTTAGCTGAAAATTCATATTTTCAATCAGCTTTCTGCTCCGTGGTTCCTGCAACCTGCGACTGGGATTTGGAATTGTTTGGAGGGGAAGGCTATCACTTCGTTTCGTATCGGTTTCTAAGGAACTTACAATTTCATTTCGTTTTTCTCTACCTCCCACACCACACACACACACACGCATGCAAAAAAAAATCCATGACTTAACAAAAACTACAAAGTTAAGGTGGGAACAATACAGCCGGCCACAGAATCGAGGCTGTGAAAAGTTTACACGGAGTTTACACACAGGCAGAGTGATATATTTAACGGTGTGTTGATTAACCAATGGGAAAGATGAACTGTGGGAGATCCAGTATTGGACACCGCGCAGCGTGTTCAATAGACAAGGGAGGGAGGGGAAGCCCCGGGGAAAATAGAAATTCAAGGGGAGTTGTTTCTCTGACATTTTCGTTCCCACTAAAGTGAACGCGTCCACAATTTTGTTTTCACATACCGGCTGAGGCGCTGAATTAATTCATTTTCTATTTTCAGTTCCCGCCCCCGCCCATTCACCTTAAACCTAATATAAACCACTCAACATTGGCTAGCTAGATCACAGGTGACAGAAGAGAGAGAGATCTTTGAGCAGCGAGACAGCAAGGTAATTACTGATCCCTGTTAGAGGGCCCTTGTCATTATCCCTGTAATGATCAACGGATTTTAAAATTATAGATAAATTTCACCAACTACGGTATAACTCTCGTACGGCTCAGAATCTTATTCGTTTGGGAAAGGGTACTTTTCACGTAGGAATAACTTTTTTATTGCTTTAGAACTAATTTTCAAAAAAAATTCAAATAAAATGTGATACCTTTTTTTAAAATCTAAATTTGTTGTTGAAGGTTTTTCAGTTCGATGTGCGTGTGCGCTTTAGGGTACAATTGCAGAAGTTTTATGCAATTTTTAATTTGACTGCTCATGCGTTTTTGTTAGCTAATATTTTGCAATAATGTATTCGGATTTTTCACAAATTAGTAATAATATTAAACAGTATAATGATATCTGAAACTGCGAAGTGATGTATTCGATATATTCGGAATTCTAACAAATTAATGACGGTATTAAACAGTACCATGACCTTCCTACGTTAGAAATACAAGATGAATTCTCAAAGATTTGAATCTTTGTTTTTTTTATCACGGGAATATATGAAGATATTCTCACCTGAAATATACTTTTCTAACAAGAACAAATGCTGGAGATCATAGCGGGTCAAGGCAGCATCCATGGAGAGAGAGCCTGCTAACGTTTCGAGTCTAAATGGCTCTTCATCTGATACCAGCATCTGCAGTTCTGGAGAATCCGAGACAACAAGGTGCAGAGCTGGATGAACACAGCAGGCCAAGCAGCATCAGA